AAAGAAACCGTTGGTTCATCTTCTCGTTCTCTTCTCCGCCGAATCGCCGTCGTGCTTTTCTTCTTTCCGGCAAGGATATGGCTGTTTTTTTATTTTCCGTTTGAGGTTTATACTAAGTGTACGCTGAGCTTATAGTATTGTTTATTGTGAACAGGTTCATAGTTATTAGTTAGTTGGCTGAGCCTGACCTAATATGGAGATTGAGGAAGTGAAACAATGGACGGATCTGGGTTTTTCTCTTCATTAGGTAAGATTCATATTTATCTTCTTTATATTGTTGGTTTCTGTGTATATATGTCAGTGATTCATTCTTTGCATATGTGGCGGTACATATACGTGTTTTGTCCTTGAAACTGCTTCTTATGAGAAATCGTCATGGATTCTGTGGTAATAAACATTTGCTGATTCGTTTTTCCAATTTATGCTGATCGGAAGTAGCATCTCGTGCAACACGATTGTTTTTGTGTTAGTTGCATTTCCCCCCTTGCTTTAATTGATTTTAAATTTATTTAGCTGTATCAAGCCTAAATTGATAGGTTTATGCTAATTAATGCCGATATTATGGATCAAGAAATAATCTAATCTAATTTTTTTCTAATGTTACTGTATCTCTTACCTTATTTACAATTTTAATCACGAATGTTGATACAATTTTATTGTTGATAGAGGGGTTAAGGGGTGAATTAAGGATCCTCTTCAATTGGGTTTGGGGTTGCTCATTTTAGATATTGTTTGAATGATAAATTTCTATGAATAGTTTGGGTTGCTTTTTTAAAACCTTTAAAGAATAAAGATTTTGTTTATAAAATTTGACATTAGACCTTTTATAGAATTGTAGACAAATTAAAGTTAATTAAAATATTCGACGAAAGTTAATGAATAGATTATATCTAACATTGATGTGCATGATACTTGACTTAGATATGACTACCTCTTCGGTAATTTTTTTTTTTTAAAGCAAACTGGTTATCTTTTTGTGATATTCGAAATGAGGAATCAGGAATGCATAACGATATCAGCACTTACTAAAACAAGTGCTTACACTTCCTCATAACTCATAAGTATGAGGTAATTGAAATCAATTTTAAAATTAAACCAACATATATAACGTAGTCGTAAGTTATGCACCTTGATAGGAATTCAGCAAGCCCTCAAATCATGAAGTGTTTTAAACTATACAGTTTGGTATAGGGTTACTAGAATCATTGTGATTATGGCAGGTACAAATCACCTAAAATATTTCCCCAAAGAAGACATTTATTTTCTATGTTGTGTTTGTTGTTAATTATATTTTTAGTTTGGGTTTAATTTTAAAATATTATCTTATTATTATTATTTTTTACATTGTTATGTATCCAGTGACGCATTTTTACATTATTTAAAAAATTGACAATTTATGAGCTGTTAAACTTATTAAATGATGAAAATTAAATAATGGATCAATTGTATATGCTTATAAACTTACATACAGTATATATATGTTTCACTCATACATACGATTCTACTAAATATGTAACAGAGGAGTGCAAGAAAAATGACTGGAGGAGAAAAGCTTGAAGAATGACTTAAACATTTCTCATATAATGTATTTGGGGTTCTCTTCATTATTTTTTCTCCTAAGCTACGTTAGAGACAAAACGAGAGGGAAATACCCAGACAATACGAAGCTATTCAATTGAAATGCTAAAACAATAATAATAATAATGATGATAATATTTGTTTCATTAAACGAGTTGCATTTGTGGAGAAAGAAATAAAGTTTAATTTTGGAGATTTGTGATGGAAATGGATCCTCTCGTGTGGTTGTGTGTGAATATTACAACCATATAAAAGTAAATCAACGGTTATGATTTTGTAATTACTTATTTTAATATTTTTTTTCTCTTTTTTATTATTATTGATCCACCTTTGTATGATTATGATTTCTCACATGATCATATCTTTTTTTTTTTTCACATGAGAGGATCCAGATCTATTTGTGATAGTCACACTTAACATCATATTAAATTTAGAGTTCTATACAGATTTGTACTAAACTCTTAATACATAACTTCTATTAAATGGAATCAGTAATATATTTTGTTTTTATGTTACAATTTTTTAAAATAGACAAATATTTTTTATTATAATAATTTACTATAAAATTTAGCAATTACTAAACGTTTAATAATTGATCTATGGTATTAGTGCAACAAATAGCTAACCCATTGTTAGTCTTTCGAAAACACAAGTCCTTTTATTTTGATTTTATAAAGAATTTTACGTTGATTAAGTTCGTCAAAACTATTTAAGTGTCTTAAAATTGTTTTTATGTGTATAGACCATGAGAGTTAGGATGGTTTGTTCCGAAGTCTGTTTTTTTTTTTTTTTGTGACTGATCCTAATTATCTCTTCGAGGCGAATCAGAATCTCTCTGTATCTCCACGGGTTCCGGTATCCCCACGGGCAATGGCGGACGGACATTGGTGACTGTGTCTGCACATGCAGACACAAAACATGAGATTTTTTTTTTTAAGTGGAGGAGAAATCGTACTGTGTGTTGGGTAAATATCCTAAGAAGCATATATATAAATAAACACTATTTTATTACGATTAAACTTATATTAAGCTTATATTAAACTACCAGCGCCGTAAATATCCTAAGAAGTGATGATTGGTTTAACGCATGCATGCTAACTTATGTTGAACGTGATATATTTGGTAAGATTGATGATGAAGATATAATGAAATATTTTCAAGGAATGAAAAATCGAAGAATGCTTTTGTGATCATTCTATTGTAACAGCTTAGTTGACTCTTGATTTTTTTTTTTTTTTTTTTATGTTAAGTTAAAGTTTTCTTTTATTTTCTTGTTTATATTTTTTTTAATACATTTAAATTTTTCTTAAAAAAAAATCTTCGGGGACGCTGCCCCAGAACCCCCGCCTTAAGTGTGCACCCATAAAAAAATTTCCTGGGTCCGCCACTGCCTACGGGTTCAACTCTTTGAGCCGTCCATGGGACTAATCCAGAGTTCGGATGTGAGTCCAAGGATTACGGTACTTATACCCTTCGCCAGATGGTGTTGGTGGGATTCGAACTGAGGTCCTCTCCTACCACTCAGTCCCCATGCTACCAACTGAGTCACCACACTTGGGTGTTCCGAAGTCTGTTTTGGAAGACAGTTTTTTAATTTTCAAAATAAAAAAATTCATTTGATAAGAGCTATTTTATAATTTTTTTTTTAAAATTGTAATTCTTTTTTTTATAGTCAAATTTAGAAAATATATTTGAGTTGTTTTGTTTAATGTTTTAATTTTTAACTTTCAAAATAAAAAAAAACATAGAAAACACTTATTTTATTAGGGTTCGTTTTTTTCTACAATTACTGCAGATAACTTATCTGCAGTAAGCCAATACGACATCGTTTTAGGGCAGAAATCATGGTGTTTTTGTAATTTTAATTTGTTTCAGACTTATAATTGTCTTTATATTTATAATCTTTTAAGATTTCAATCCCGAAATGACGTCGTTTTGGGAATAAATGCAGAAATATTTTTCCTATTTTATTAACTATTTTACAAAACAATTTTAAAATCAAACAGTCCATTATTAAGAATTTCTATGATTGATGGGCTTAATTAAAATAATATTTTGGTAATTAATTGAAGTAATTTTATATGATTGATAAATTAAACTAATATTTTATAATTGTTAAGGGACTAATTTATGATTGAATCAAACAAACTAATGTTAAAATTGTTTTAAAGAAGAAATAATACTTGTGTATTTATAGGAATTAATAACAAAATTACTGTTGAAGATAGAATTGCCAATTCTAAATAAATTGTGCTTGATAAATTGCAAAATACTCTCAGGGGCCACTTGTATAATTTTATACTTTATTTTAAAAATGTTTTATTTTCAATGTAACTATGTATAGATTCTGCAATTTCACGTGTTATATTATCTGTGAAATAATATGCTTTTTAATTTAGAAATTTAAGTGTAATTGTCTTTTAAAAAAATTATAGAAGCATTAATTATTTTTAATTTTATTTTTGTATTGAGTAAAATAAGCGAGAATATTGTAATTTTGATTAAATATACAATTTCTTAAAATTATGAATATCTGGTAATTTTTTTGATGAATTACTTTTATCTCCTGATAAATACTTATTTTACACTGTTTTTATTTTATTTTGAAATATTAATCCTTTTTTGGAGAGTATGTTATATTTTTTGTTTATTTTAATGTGAACGAAATTTCTAAGAATTATTATTTTTTTTACTATTTTAAATGTCGTCGTTAGTTATTCTTGACATTTGAATGGTCCCATTGTAAATAGAATTTTAGAACACGAATTAACTAAGTGAAATCTGAGTAGTTCGTATTATGTTAAGTGTTTAATTTCCTCCATTTTATCCAAAAAAATATCTATGTGAAATTCTATGTAATTTTAGAAGATAAATCGAAGATTGTATGTGAAATTTTAAAGTTGAGTTAGTGTTTGAATTTGTTTTTTCTTTTAAAAAGTTTCTTAATTAACTTACGTAGTACAAAATGAATATTTATTCTTTTACCTAAACTATTTTTTATCTTATATGTATATTATTTCAACAATTAAATAAATCTCTTTGTAATAATATATTTTTTTGTAACAAATCAAATCTTTAGTATCTCTGGAGGAAAAAAATTAATTTACTGGTAGTTTTTCAATTGTTATGAAATTTTTTTAAATGAAAACTCTCTTGAAAGTGAAATATCTTAGAAGATTGAGCGTGTCACGTGAATGGCATTAAAAAAAGAAAAAGGAAAAAAGAGTGAAAGTGATGACTGTTGAGCATGTCTGACTGAATTGAGAAAATGACCCTATGCTGTTTTCACTTTCCATCCTCAGCGAACAGCTGTCACCGTTTCTGCGCTCTGATTGGTTATAACCCTTTCTTCTTCAAAGTATTTCTCTTCTCTATATTCGACGCGTGTTGCTATTTCTGTTGTATTACTTCCTGTCTGCCTACAAAAAGCCCAACAGCTTCGTTTTACATCCCAACGACAATCACTTAACTGATGAAGCCGGTGATTCGCTTCGTCTCTTCCTCCTGATCGCCGACGTGCTCTACCTTCACTGCAGTTTCTCCCTCTTTATACACGGTGCTTCTATTTCCCTAACATGCACTGATTCGCTTACTTATAATGAAATTTGTGACCGAGAAACCACATAAATCCATCTAGGTTTTGGAGTTTTTGTTTATTCTTTATCAGCTTGTGTTCATCTGTCTTGTTCTATTCAATGATTTTTTTTTTTTTTTTTTTAAAACTTTTTATGTGAAACTATTGGCAGAATTTAGTGTGATAGTCCAGGAGCAATGTGAGTTGTTTTTTCTTTTTTTCTTTCCATGAGAGTAATCTGGCTTGATGATGTTTTGTAATTGTGCTTGCCTTGATGCCATGGTGCAGCTTGATTATTTTGCCGGTGTTAGTTGTTTCTAATTTGTTGTGTTGTGTATAACTGATTTCCTATTTATATACATATGGTGAAGCAAGTTGAATGTTACCTGTGAGAGTGCCTAAAAACGTGAATTTTGTTCACTGGTGTGTATGGACTGTGGAGTATTGAATTGATGAACAAATTTTCATCATCTTCGGTCCCACAATTTCACCAAGGGCAGTGTTTTTATGATCTTTTTCTTTTTTCTTTTGAATTGTGGACATGCATTGTTTATGTTGTTTTAATTTTTCTGCCGTACTGGGTTACGTATTTTTGTTTTTTCGTTTTAAACATTCAACTCATTTACGATTTTGTCTAGAAGATTTTGAATAATATAGTGGAGAAGGCAAGTCAGGTGCAATATGTTAGAGTTCAGTATTTTTATTTTTATTTTTTCAATGTTCAGACATAGTCATGAATTAACATAAGTGCTAGTTTAATTAGCAAACACGACTTTGGTGTATCCATGTAACGCATTTTGAGATAAAGGGGAGTGGGTTGAATCACTTACACTTGAATTAGCCTTACATTTTTCCAACCAAAATTTGAGTTGAACGTGCATGTTTTGGTAACAGATTTTATTGGGGAAAATAACTGTTTTTTTCCTTCCTAAAGCTCTATTATGAAGTTGCCAAAATAAAGATTTTTTGGCCCTAAGATAAGCTAAACCAAACACACTCAAAATGTAGTCCATGTTTAAAAATAGGACTCCCGCCTTTCTAGTTGCAAGTCATCATCCATCAAACCTTTGAGAACTGTTATTATTTGTCACACTATAAAGTAAACTTTGGTGTATAAAAGAGAGGGTAATCTGAGTATGTGTTGGATGAAAAGTTATGTCATGTCTTGCTAAAATATCCTAATTTATCATTAAAATTATTATTGTTGTCTGTAACAAAAAATCAAATGAAGTCATGTTTCCAATGTATTGTACGACTTTTTCATTCTGATATCAGGAGGTTCCGATTTTGTATAATTCACTTTACTATAAAAGAGGAAGTTCGAGCACCAGGAAAATTAGTTTATTGAAAGAGATTCATTTGTTTTCTTTTTCCTTTTTTTTCCCCTTCCGATGAGAATTTGTTCTTTGAGTGGGAGGATTTTTTATTTTTTGGTGCTAATTGTTATTTTTTCCCATATATTTTGGGTTTACTTTTTATTGTAAAGGTATTATATTGTATGAAATGGATGAACAATGTACGGTAAGCTATTGTCTACTATATATATGTTTGAAATTGTTCAAGGCCTTTGCTATGGAAAACATAATTGGCTACCACAGTTCCTAAAATGGTATTAGAATTACTAATGCAAATATGAGTACTCATGGAGAAGCTTGCTATGATTAATGATAAGATATCAAACATTTTGCAGAAAATCTAATCTAAATAGACACCCTAACATGGACCTGAGAACATGAAAGATAAAAACAATGTTTACTTTGTGATATTCCTGCTAAGCAGATTTCTATCTACCAAGCTATTGTACATTTTCCTGCCTATAATTTTAAAATTTAGTTATCCTCTAAGGGCAAAGGGAAAATCTTGGTGCATAGGGGTCTCTGACTTTGCGAGTGTATGGGTGAAGGTCAATTGTATGCAACCTTATCCTTGCTTTTAACAAAGAGGCTATTTTCTAGACTTGAACCCGTCACCTTTCGATTACAAAGGAGCAATCTTACCGCTGCTCCAAAGCTCGCCCTCTAATATTTTGTCATTTTCTATTCATTGATATATAATTATGACTTTTCACCCCGTTATTCAAACCCAGAAAAGATGCAAGATGAATTGAAGTGCTGTCTTCAGATTGGCTGTGCAGACGTAGCAATAATGAAGATCTTACATTCACATGTCTTGCAGTTTCTCATCTATTAAAGGTATGACATTTTCCAAAAACTCTCTCTTAAAAGAGAACGGAAGTTTGATGAACTATCTTGCAATTTAGTCATGCATTATCTCACGGGACTTAAATAATAACTTCAAAAAGATGTCATTTGATCATTACACATATCAGGGATCACGGGGAGCTAGACTGATGATAGAAGCCTTTGATCACTTGCTAAGCTTTGTATAGATATAATTGTATGGTTCTCTCACAAGGAATGCTTTTTTGAGTTCATTTATGTATCTCTTAAGTAGTTGTTTGCTTTAGAAGAAACATATTTAATAGATTCTTTTAGTTGTGGTAATATTTACGTATATAATTTGGGATTGTGTATTTAGATTGTTGCTTCATGGTCTCAAAAGTGACCCAAATACCATGATTATTTGTGGTTACAGGTGTTTTCTTGCAAAAGTTCATAGTTTGTAAATAACTAGACATATATAGGTAATGGTATCCTCAAAGTTTTAGATATATCCTATATCAATATATTTGGATGAAAATTATGTGATCATGTTTTACTTTTTTTTTTTTAATGGGACATCTACAATTTCTTTTTTTATAAAAAGGGCAACCGGGTGCTATAAAACTCCCCCTGTGCACAGGGTCTCTAGGAAGGGTCAGACCAATTGAATGAGTCTAAAGTAGGTGGTAACCTTATATTGCATTTGCAAGAGGCTGATTACATGAATTGAACATGTGACCTTTGGGTCACATGGCTACAACACCAACCAGTGTGTCAAGGCTTCCCTTCAATTCTTTTTTTCATAGAAAATGAAAGTAATGTTAGAGCATAGTTATTAATAGTGGGTAGCTGCCAAGTTCAAAAGTACGATAGCGGTATAGCGGGTAGCGAAGTCCACAAAAATAAAAAATTACTCAAAATTAAAAATAGAGAGAGAAATGTAGAAAACAGAGAGAGATTGAAGGTTGGAATATCAGTTTGACTTCGAAGCTAGAAATGTAGAAGACAGAGAGAGATCGAAGGCAGAAAATAGAAGAGGCTTGCTGGAATATCAGTTTGTAGCCAGAAATATAGAAGAGAGAGAGATTGAAGGCAGAAAATAGAAGAGAGAGAGAGAGAGCAAAGGCAATAAATCAGTGAGGAGAAAATGACTGAAAGGAGAAAATGACTGAGATATAATATAAACATAATAGTTTTACTTTTACTGTGTTACCACTGTTATTGTATATTAGTTACCCATTCTGATAGATGGTTACTAAGTTGTTATTGCTCTGTTAGTAGTTGTAATGGACCAGCTATTAGCTGAGTCACTAGTCTCTGAGTCTATATATAGAGTCTTACTTTTGTATCAGAATAATTAATAACATTCAGACTTTTGTTCAGAATTTCTCTCTCTCTCTCTCTCTTTCTCTCTTCCTTCTTCCTCTTCATCACTTTCTCTCATTTTCTTCTATTTTCTTGAAGATAAAAGAAGTATCCTAGTGGCAGCAAACATGAGTATTAAAATATTAAGGGTTGAGATAAAAAAGTCTTCTTTACCCTTAAAAATAAAATTTCTGACCATTATACCCTTTGTATTATAACTTTTCTGTTCCTTTCACATTAGCATGAAATTGCAATGCTACTTACGCTGCAAGCAAGTGCAAATTTCTGACTGCTACTGCCGCAACACTAAACCGTTGAATTGTGTGCGGTTTGTTGTGGCTCATAGCCGCTACCCGCTATTGAAGCGGTATTGCGCACAAAAGCAGCGCTTTTTTCATCTATGTATTAGAGCAAAAGGAGGCAAGTACAGCAAGGGGAAGGACAAGATATCCTCAAAAAAGAATTGTCAAGATACAACTAGGATCATTAAAAAATCAAGGATTTAACAACATTGCCTATTCTCGCTATCACAAATGGCAACTTCCTTGAAACAATCATAAGCACAGAACTCCAAAGAGATGCCATTAACATAATTATATCCATAATAATTATGATGGCGACGAGCCATCCACAAAAATGTGATTGTTTCGCTTTGACTAAATGCACCAATGAACTTCATAGTTGCACGCCATAATGTTTTAACCTCCCTTGTTTTTGTAAAACTTTTATAATGAACCATTAAAAACTGTGTCAAAAGTAAATAGATGCGTAGCCATAGAGTGCTCCTTGTTCCACTAGAAGGTAGCCATTCCCAACATTGAATGACGATGTAACTTGTAGGATTGTGCGATCCTATGAATTAGATGGTGGTTTTGACTACATTGGACATTGTTTTGACTGGATTTTAACCGGGTTTGACCTTTCAATGTGAAAATCAAATATATCCTTCAACTTGACTGGCCAGGTGGTTTGGTTACTAGTTTTGATCTGGCCGGCCCTTCTAGCCTGGTCCATATGAACATCATAGTGGTTGTCAACATCAACATCACCTTTATTCTAAACTAATTGGGGTTAGTGGTAGATGATCCCAAATGGAAGATACGAAAGGATAAAAATAAAAATAAATAAAATAATATATATATGTATATATATAAAAGAAAAAATATAAGGGGTGTAAAAAAAAAAAAAAGAGGATGGGGAAGGGGAAAAAGAAAAGAGAGGGTTTGGAATATGGGAATAACAACGGGTCTAACCTTCCACCATGTTAATAGCCTTTTTCCATTCCTTCTTAAGGCACATCGTTCGTCAATTTATATCCCACTCCATTAAGTCTTTTTTATTACCTTCCCTCAAGTAAGTTTCGGTCTTACTTTACTATAAATATTATGTTGGATATTATATGGAAAATCAATGCAAAATAGTCAAATATTCAATTTTTTTTAATGTTAATGCCTACCTTTAGTAAGGTGTACGAATTCTGGTGCCTCATTTCATTTCCCATGGTTTGTGGGCAACCTTGTAAATAGATATTGTTTCCTACATCTATAATGCTTAGATATAGATTACTTCGCCTAAGTTCCTAAACCAAAATCTACATTGCTGGGATTGCAAATAGATGCCATTATATTTTAGAGCTCAGTTATTTCTTTCAATTTAAAAATTAGAACCTGACCACATGAAGTTGGCTCTTTGATGAATCTCATTCAATTTGGCTTTGAGGGTTGTAAAGAACCAATTCAACCTAAAAGCTTAAGTTGTTGGGTGAGGCTGTATTAATGGTTTTATATATCTCAACACGTCCCCTCACACGAGAGCCCACTGGGCTTGAAGGGTGGACGATGCACAGGCCCACCTACCTGTGCGAAGAAAGAAATTCCACTAGAAAGAAAGTGGGGGGCGGTGAGGATCGAACCCAGTACACCGAGGCTCTTATATCATGTAAAGAACCAATTCAACCCAAAAGCTTAAGCTGTTGGGTGAGGCTATATTAATGGTTTTATATATCTCAACAAGAGTGAACAGTGATTTGAACAAGTTTTTGATGCTCAGTAAATCGAAGCTTCTAAGCTTTGGGTAATTGGCCTCTATATACTGAAATCAATATATGGCTATGCCTATAATTGAATCTGAAATATATTGTATATTCAAGTGTGTGAGTCTGTACAAGGAGGCTCTCTATTTATAGAGACTAAAAAGACCTAATGGGATGACCTAATGGGCCAAGCCCACAATCTAGACTATTCTAGACTTTTCTAATAATAATAAAATAATATTATTTCTAACACTCCCCCTCAAGCTGGTGCGTATATATCAAAAGCTCCCAGCTTGTTACAAATATGATCTATTCGGGGACCTCTAAGAGCTTTAGTGAATACATCCGCAAGTTGATCATTGGAATTGACAAATGCTGTCTCGATCTCCCTTGACTGGATCTTTTATCTAACAAAATGACAGTCAATTTCTATATGCTTGGTCCTCTCATGAAAGACTGGGTTAGAGGATATATGCAAAGCGGCTTGGTTGTCACAAATGAGCTTCATAGGCCTTTGTTCACAGAGATGGAGTTCCTTCAGCAATTGTCTCAGCCAGATGAGCTCACAGGTTGCATTTGCCATTGCCCGATATTCTGCCTCCGCACTGGATCTGGCGACCACAGTTTGCTTCTTACTTTTCCAAGAGATCAAATTTCCTCCGAAAAGAACACAATACCCTGAGGTGGATCGTCTATCTGAAGGAGAACCTGCCCAGTCAGCATCTGAATAACTAGAGATCTCTGAACTCCCTTTATTTGTATATAATAAACCTCTTCCTGGCGCCTTTTTAATATATCGGAGAATTCTAATAACTGCATCCCAATGGGAGTCACATGGAGAATCAAGAAATTGACTTGCAACACTCACTGCGAAGGAGATATCTGGCCTTGTCACAGTAAGATAATTCAATTTTCCAACTAGTCGGCGGTAGCGACTAGGATCTGGCAGTGGCTCCCCCTGTCCTGGTAATAACTTAACATTGGGGTCCATAGGTGTATCAATGGGTTTACAGCCTAACATTCCAGTCTCATCTAGGATATCCAGTGCATACTTCCTCTGACAGATGGAAATGCCCCGCCTAGACTGTGCAACTTCGATCCCCAAGAAATATCGAAGTCTGCCAAGATCTTTGGTTTGAAATTGATTGAATAAATGCTCTTTCAACTGATCAATCCCGATCTGATCACTGCCTGTAATGATAATGTCATCAACATAGACCAGGAGATAAACGCACTGGCCAGAAGAGCTATGCCGGTAAAAGACAGAATGATCGGCTTTGCTTCTGATTAAGCCAAAGGATTCAACAACTGAACTAAAGCGGCTAAACCAGGCCCGAGGAGATTGCTTCAGGCCATATAAAGATTTCCGAAGTTTACATATCATTCCAGAATTCTCCCCCTGAGCAACAAAACCTGGTGGTTGCTCCATATAAACTTCTTCCTGCAAGTCACCATGTAGAAAAGCATTCTTAATATCAAGTTGGAGAAGAGGCCAGTGATGAATGGCGGCAAGGGCAAGAAACAGGCGAACAGAAGCCATCTTAGCAACAGGAGAAAAGGTATCCCCATAATCAAGACCAAAGATCTGTGTGTATCCCTTGGCCACTAAGCGAGCTTTAAGGCGATCAACAGT